TTTATTTTTTATAAATTTTTTTACTTATTTTTTTATATATTTAAAAATAATTTTTAAATTTTTTTCTTAATAAAAATTTAAACTTAAACTTACAACTCATAAATAATATAAAAAAATAAAAATAAAAATTCTTATAAATTACTTCAAAAATGCTCTTAGTGGTCCTTATAGACATTTTGCAAGAGCAGAGAACGAGGGGCACAGACACCTCAATGGGAAGAGCAAGACCATCTGCTGCTTAGATCAGACGCGCACCTTGTTTGTAATTAGGTTCGAAAACGCTCGAATACTTTTTAACTGATCGCACGATTCTCCCTGCTTTTCGTAATCTTCTTGGCTTTTTTCTTCACTCCTCAAAGATGGTGGACGGTTGCCTTTAGTTGGATCCAATTTTCCAGGTGCCGTGCACTATGATGGTTTCTTTTTATTCATTTATCTAAAAATTAATTTTCCCTCTTAGCAGGTCAGGAGTTGTAGGTCAGAACACGCCAACCATTAAATAAAAAACAATAAATAAAAATTATGGAACGGGGCAATGTTTGTCGTACTGATGATCGTTAGAGCTAAAAGGCCCAAAACGATTGGGCAGCCATCAAAACTCAGGTCGTCTCATGGTGGGCCGGGGTTGAGCGGGTTGGACAATAGAAGAAGAAAAAGACAATAAGTTCCATTGGGTGACAATGCTTTTATTTGTAGACTCCACAAATTGCGATTGAAAGATGTCAAACTGAGCTGTTCATATTCTATCCAATCTTATTAATTTGACTTAATTTAATTTAATTTCATTAAAAATTAATTTAAATTGATATAAAATTGGATTGATTTAAATTATAAAATTTAAAATCGATATAATTAGTTTAGTTTGTGATTTTACTTTCAAACTATCCAACTGCCTGATTATAAAATAAAATCTGATTACAAGATAAGTTAATTAAATAATATAATTTTTTTTGGTAGTATTTTAATTTTTTTTTATTTAATAAGATAATAACTCTATTAACTTAATTAAAAAATAAAAATGGAACATTTTTATATTCCCGAAGTTATTTTTTCATTTTAATTATGCATTCTAACCCTAATTCTAAATTTATAATTCACCTATAATTTTATCCCTTTAGAACTGGTTTACGCATTTACTCTTAAAATCCTAAATTTCTAATTTATTTTTAAAATAATCTTATGATTACTCTAACTAAATTTTAAGTAAGTATCATTCTAAAAGTCTTAAAACTATATAATAAAATTAGTCTTGATATTCTACTATTCTTGGATATTTGGTTTAGAAGTTTTAAATTCTGATTATGAATGCTTCTAATCAATTTTAGTGATATTTATGTTAAATTTTATTAACTTTTAACAAGATTTAAAAGATGCGATTAAATTATTAATGTATTAAGAAAAAAACTAATTTTAATTTTTAAGAATTATTTACATTATACTAGAAATTTGAAGTCATCTTTAATTGTTTTTTATGCTTCTAGTGATGTAACCAAAAAGAAATTTCAGATCTTTTCAATTTTTACAAATGTAAATGAGTGTAATAACTCATTTATAATTTGTACTTTTTATTATATTTTTACTAATTTGCATGCTAATGTGTTTTATGATTATGTTTTCTATTCGATATTAAAATATTTTTACATTATCTTATATAATTAATAATATTAAAAACTGATAAATCCAACTGAACCACACCGATTCGATTTAAATTGGATTGGTTTGATTATCACATAATAATGAATTAAATTG